AAAATTAACAGAATGCTATATCATCTGCTTCCACGTTAGCGTAAGCTTAGGTTTTTTTAACGAATAGAGAGGCACAAACAAAATACAATATTTTGCAGTGTACGACTGTAAGAGACATTAGAGAAGACAAACACAAACAAGTACCACGACAATCTGTTCGAGGAGGTACGCCGTGGAGTAAATGAGTGTACTCTTTTTATCTTAATTGCCGCGGACCCCGCGGGGCGGGGCGAGCAAGCAGAGGAGGCGTGGATCACTAATCACCCGCTGTACTGAATACCAAGGCACAGTGCTCGTCGAGGACCCTCCAGGACCCTCCAGGACTCTCCAGGGCCCTCCCGGACTCTCCAGCAGAACCCTCCAGGACCCTTCAGCATCAGGACCCACCCACCGGGCTGCTCGGCGCCCCCAAGCGGACGGGTCGGTGAGGACCTTGGACGCCGCCGCCGTCGCGGCCCTTCTCCAGCTGATCCAGCGCCGCTCCAGAGGGTTATGTAATGAGGCTCGGTATGAGTTCGCCGCACCCGAGACAACGCGGCGGGGCGAGGCGTGGCGCGGAGTGGCGTGGCGATATGGCACACGGAGTGGCGGCGATGCGATCGCCATACCACCCGCAGCCCCGCGGGGTGCCACGCCGGCCAGCGGTGTGAATGCCCCCCATTGTGCGTATCGGTGCGACGCACGGTGGTGGCAGGCCGTTGAGTAGTAGCGTGTACTACACTGAAACAATGATTAGTTGTAGCTACTAAACCAATAGCTAAATGAAGGATAAATAATCATTTAGCCATGTAGCTGGGAATGTAGCTATGCTTAGCTACATAGCTGCATTTTTAGCACCTCACCAACATTGTTCGCTAGAGAGCTAAATTTCTGCGACGTACATAATTGTTTAGCTACATAATAGCTGAATAATTAGTTATCCCCTATTTAACTAAATGTTTATCTATATAATAATCTAATCTTTCTTTTCATGTACAAGGGGACTGTCAGTGGCCAGAAAATAAATTGACTGACATAATGTTTCCAGAGGTAAATATTGTGGATGATGTCGCAATCATTGTTTCTAATAAAACGATATAAATAAGTTGCAAAACATTTAAACAGCGAAGTAATGAAACAATTTCTTCTCGGTTGGAAATGATCTCACCTTCTCACATGTGTGTGATATTGCCACACACACGCCCACAGCTTGCGCCCAGCACGGCGACCGCCGGCAGCATTTAATGAGGAGTGAACCCCACGGCACCGAGACCGTGTAACGACGAGCCGTGCAAGGCCTCGCGTCACAGGGCAAGTGGGGTCGGCTCGGGGCTCGGCGTCGGCCGGGTCACCGCGGGGTCACACTCCACGCTCCGCACACCACCTCCTCCACAACCGCTTCACTTTTTTTTCTCTCTCCCCCACTTTGGAAAGTTTGCTCTGCGCCGACAGAAGTCAAACACCTGGAGAAGCAGGAGGGACTGGAGGGTCACCCTGAGCGGCGGGTCGTGGATGACGGATAAGCGCCCTGGTCCGGCCTCGGGTCCGGCCTCGGGTCCGGCCTCGGGTCCGGCCTCGAGTCCGGCCGCCGGCCCTTCCCTGACGTAACCCCAAGGGCAGCCCCCGCAAGGGCAGCGGCCGGCCGGAGGACGCCGCTGGGGGGCTCCGCTTTCCTGGGGAAAGGTCTCCGTCGAGGCCACGGCGGCGACGCCACAGGCGTTGATCGCTGCGCGTAATCGTCATCGAACAACTGCGCTGCTACTCCTCTTTTTCACCTCCCCAGCTGCTCTGCTGCGACCATTACGTACTTCTTTACTTTACCGAAAACAAAAAAAAAAGAGTAGAGCGCCGCTAAAGCGTGATGGGCTAAGCTGCTCAGTGTTTTCGGACGAACAGTCCGACTGTTACGTAACCGCCCTGGAAATGCGTATCAAACGCGTCACGAAGTTAGTGACAGAAGACAGAAGCAGTTTCCTTTGCGTTTTACTCTCTCGTGTATGTCATGCACTCACCCCCGGCCCACGATGAGCCTGAGCGCGTCCAGCTGGCCCTCGAAGGACGCCCACAGGGTCGGCGTCATCCCGTCCTCGTCGCGCGTGTTGAGGTCCTTCTTGTTGGCCTCCTTGAGCGACTCCAGGACGCCGTCCCTCGCGGCCCTGCGGACACAAGGAAACAGTTGGAAACATTAGAAAAGGAAGAATACATTGATAGTTATAACTGGTCATGAAAGGTTATATGATGGTAATTATAGACAGAAAACAGTACAAAACGTTTCGGAAGTAGTATATTTTTAAAAATTACATCTGCAGAAGCGACAGGGGTCAGGGTCACTGTCAAGTGGCCAACCAGAAAATTAGGCAAAGTCTATAGACAATGGCGGTGCCTGCGGGTTAGGCCTACCCACGGAAAAAAAGTTGTCGAGGTTCGAGTCTCATTTTAAAGAACACACCTTGCCATGAATTTTAGTCATAGTCCGAGCTCTGTACGACGAAAGATGGCCGGGCGCCGGGCTCTTTTCGGTTCGGCCCCTCGCGGCGCTCGGAGCGCCTCGCCATGTTGCGGGCCTCCTCTCGCACGGCACGCGAGGCCGGCGGAGGCGACTCAGTGCCGAGGTGATTCCCTATGGTGTCTACTTTCGGCGGATACCCTAAAATCCACGATCGGCGCAACCGTGTCGCCTCCAGGGGCCTAAGTCTCGAAAACCACGCTACTCGAAACTGACGGAAAACTATCGAAAATAAGTGGGGGTTTCTTGGTATCGTTGTGTAGGCCAAATCAAGACCTTTCGATTCCAGGTGGTCCTGCCACTAAGACGCAACTCGTCTAGGCGTGAGCGACGAAAGAGTGCCGACAGCGGAACGGCGGCCGTTTGAACGGAGAGCGCGCGGCGCGCCGCACAGAGCCGGGAGGGGAAGGCGAGTCGTGGTGGGGGAACCGGGCCGGGCGGGGCGGAGGCCGGCGTGCCTTTTTCGCCTCCGCCGAAGTTTGCAAACACGAATCTTTTATATATTTTACATTATAACAACCCACAGTGATCATTGGCGCCCACCCGCGCTTCTGCCGCCTCCGCCCCGCCCGGCCCGGTCCCCCCACCACGACTCGCCTTCCCCTCCCGGCTCGGTGCGGCGCGCTGCGCGCCCTTCGTTCGAGCGGCTGCCGGCCGCCGCCGCTCGGCAGTCGGCACTCTTTTGTCGCTCATGCCTAGACGAGTTGCGTCTTAGTGGCAGGACCACCTGGAATCGAAAGGTCTTCGTTTGGCCTACACAACGATACCAAGAAACCCCCACTCATATTCGATAGTTTTCCGTCAATTTCGAGTAGC